AAAAAGCCATTATTTCTTAATCTTTATTTATTAATAAACGTAGGTACTCTTATTATACCCATTCATCATTTTTTTTTAAGCCGGAACCATCGTTTCCAAAGCAGAATTAAATGTTTACTTTTGTTTAAAAGAAATACATATACATATGTGATTAAAAGTTAACTTCAACTAAATAGTGATCTTTGCAAGCACACCGGTTTCCTTTTTTTTTTAATCAAACTAAAACAGAATAATTATTTTCGAATTTCTTTTTATTCTTGATTTATTGTTTTATTTATTTATTTTTTTTAATCCTAGCCAAACCTAATGTAAAAAAAAGTCCTATTACGATAACTATTTCAATTAAATATTGGATAGGTTATTTTGGTTATTCATTCTGAGTAAATAAATTTCTTGATGAGTCACTTCTCTTTAAGATCATAGGAAACGGATATTCATCTTCATCATCTTGACCCATCCCAAAACCAAAAGCAGCCATCTGTTCTGATATATCATCAACACTATCCGAGTTATTACTACCCTTAATTTTAGGAGAAGCGGGGGCAGAAAATGGTCTAGGAATTTTGAATTTATATTGTTGAAAATCACCAAGATCAGAACCCATAAAACTATCAGGGTAAGCACGATGTAAAGCTAATTTTCTTGCTCTAACATATTCCATTCCCATTAATTTCCAATCCAATAAATCGGATAATCTTTCAGTTCGATTACGCTGATTAATTCTTTGACGTCTTGATTTTTGACAGAATTGTAACATACAATCAACAATTTGTTGAACAGATTCTTCAACGGATTTCATTCTACGATCTATTATGTATATACCATAATCAGAAGAATTTTCAACAACTTCTTCAATGAAACAACCAAAACCAGATAGATTAGTTGTTATTGAAGGTACACCCATTACAGTGCATTCAGCAGGAGTGTATCCCCAAGGTTCATAATAACTGGGAAAAACACCAAGATGGCAACCACGAACAAAGTCATCGTAATCCAAACCAATTAGAGGATTATTAGAATTTAAAAATTCAGGGTGGAAAATTACTTTCACACGATCGGTTGGATGATTAAAAAGTTGAAGACGACGTAATTGCATTAAAATTGGATCAGAATTATCATCACACATATTATGTGTAACTATTGCCGGTAAAGTACTACGTTTGAGAGCAATTACACGACGTTTTAAAAGCACTTTTTCCTCATTAGTGAGGAGTTCAAGAGGATCAATGACAGCTTCATTAATATCACCACTGAAAATCATATTAACATTAGAAAAAAAAAAAAACAATTAATATTAATATTAAAATTAATATTAATAATCAATATTAACAGTCAATGTTAATAGTCGAATTATAAATATAAACACTTATTTACCCAGTGTATCGAGCAGCTTTCTCAAATATTCTCTGACCAATTCGATCAGTGATTTCTTTTACAGTCTCTTGAAGTTGTTTTGTTACAACTTGTGCTTTTAGAGATTCAACAGCAAATGATTGTGTAGCAGCAGGCATTACGATAAAAGCAACGACAGTCACTGGCGAGTTACAAGCTTTTAGACGAGCATTAAGACCTAATAATAAAAAGTGACCAAGAATGATAAATAATTTGTTTTATATTAAAAAATACGAATAATAAGATACTTACGGCCTAAAGATTCTATAAACATATCAACGCCTTTATTTCTATATTCATAACGACCAGCGGTGAAAAAATATAAAGTATTATCAAGATCGAAATCATAATGACCATAAAAATGGCCACGAACAAAATTATGAATTTTTTCTTTGTTCTTTGCGTGCAAATTTTGGAATTCATGCATGGCAGAAAATTTGATTACGTTCAAACCATTAGGAAGTACACCATCTTATATAAATAAATAAATAAATAAAATATAATAAGTAAAATACAGTTAAAAGTGTAGTTAAAGTATAGATAAAAAAATACAATATTATAAACATTTCTATAATATTTTACCTGGTTTTCTTTTTAATAAATGTTCAGCTTCAAAAGCGGTAATCTGACTCACAGTGGTAAACACATCACAACAATGGGCAGCGGCACGTTCTATACAATAACGATGATATATACCACGCTTGCCAGTTTCCTCATCCACAGAAAATTTAGTAATGTTATTGTAAAAATCAGTGGAACCAGCACATAGATAACGACCCAATAAGGTAGCATGAGTGGTAAAGATTGTAGTCACATCAGTACGTCTTTTACGCATAAGAGGAATAGCGCATGAAGATTGCCATTCGTGAAAATGAGCTATTATAGCTCTGGTTTTTTCTCTGGCAACAAACTATAAAGAAAAAGATTTTGCGTTACATGATCGAACACGTATAAACACAGTTACACGGTGACACGTATCGAAAAGGAAGGATTAAATATTTACATCACCCAAGAACCATGCAACGAGGTAACCAAAAAGAACCGAATCATTTGTTTCTTGATCATTTGGAGGAGAGGGAATACCAGCCACATTCCATAAATCAGCCTTCCATGAATCAAGTCTCTCAATGATAGAAGTAGTATCAAGGAGAAGGACGCGAGGAGCACCTTCGATTAACCATCTACCATACATCCATTTGATACCTTGATAAGTCATATCCTGAAGAATTTCTTTCATGTAAGTATTAGATACAGGTTCAGATTCCACTTCAGCAGCAGCAGTTCTATAGTTTAAAGGGCCAATTAAAGTGTAGCTATCGCCATATTCGTGAACAGTAACGGGAGCTTTGGATTTTATAACAGTGTATATTCCACCAACTATGTATATTACACGGGAAGAAAAAAAGTTGTAATTAACATTAGAATAACATTAGAATAATATTAGAATAACATTAAAATAACATTAGAATATTACAAGATCATACAAAGAATCATTTAAATTACCTTTGTTTGCAACCTCCCAAGCTATTTCAAAAAGAAGAGGGTTATGAACATCGCGAGCCATATTTTCCAATTATTGTTTTGCGACGATTTTTTTTTTTTACTTTTAGCGGATAATAACCAATCAAATTATTCTCAAAAAAATTTTTTGTCTCAGGATATATCGTTTCTCCTATCCGATGCCAATGGCAAAAAAGAAGGGCAACCGGACAAAAAAAAAATGATGAATGGGTATAATAAGAGTACCTACGTTTATTAATAAATAAAGATTAAGAAATAATGGCTTTTT